ATATGCACAAATCTGAGTTGCAAGGTAAGGCCAATAGACGTAACTAATCCGGTTTAGTGGCCACACTGACATGGGCAGTTGAGTTAGTCTAATGCCACTAAGCAGGAATGATTTCCTGTATCATTCCTTAATGGAGCAGGGTTGAATGAGTCTTTTGCTGAAGCTACTCAAGTGTTTTATGGAGGGGGTGAGAGGCATTCTCCATAATTGCCAATAGAATTCTGTCATTGACCACCTCCTCCAGACTAGCAAACTGGGAGCCAACAACAGACTCAGCCTTCCTAATGAGATTGTTCAGTCTGCTGGCTTCCTTTGCTTTGATGCCTGCTCCCCAACACACCACAGCAGAGAAGATGCTGCTCACAACAACAGACTGATAAAACATTTGGAGCATCCTTTTGCATACATTGAAGGACCTGAGCCTTCTCAGGAAATAAAGTCGCTTCAGGCCCTTCTTGTAGACAGCCTCTGTGTTGGTCAACCACTCCAGCTTATTGTCCAACGCCCAGGTACCTGTAGGATGTCACAATATCTACATCTGTCCCAATGGTGTAGACTGGGGACGGCAAGGACATATTCTTGCTGAAATCCACCACCATCTCGTCTGTCTTCGTCACGTTCAACTGTAAGTGAATCTCCCCACTCCACCTCACAAAGCAGTCAACCAGAACCCTGTATTTGTCCTCTCGTCCGCTCTCCACACACCCAACTATGGCAGTGTCATCGGAAAATTTCTGCAGATGACGTGACTCAGTGCAGTACTATTGACCAAACCATTGACAGTATGCAAAGTATTACAGCTGTGGTGACACCTATCTCATCAATAGGCCACTGTTAGTGCTACTCCAAAGTTCTATAACCTATGGAACTAAAACGTCTTGGCTAGAAATGTTTATAATGTAATTTTTTTACAATTTCTCAGCACCTCTGAAAATAGGTTTTTGAAAATTGAATGTTTAAAGTTGATTTTAACAAAAAATAGAATAATCACATTCTAAACGGTCTCAGATTATTGGTGCTGAGTTTGTGCTGAATAAGAGCACTCATACCACTTTGGGATAAATGTTTTTTAGATAGGTGAAATATTTCAAAATGTCAATCATATCAGACTACCTCAAAAGTAGCCGAGAGGCCTCAGGTTCGAAAGGGTTAAAATCTGCAGTATAGGTGGTGAAAAAGAAGGGAAGTAGCACAGTTCCCTGGGGGGCCTCAATGTTACTTATCAGATGCTCAGACACAGGGCTCTGAAGTCTGACAAACTGTAGTTATCAGTCCATGTGCCTGGGGGAGCGTCCACCTGCATGTCCTTCAGTTTAGCCCTCAGCAGTCTGGGCTGGATGGTATTGAAAGCGCTGGAGAAGTCAAAATGTAAGTGAACAAATATGAAGTCCATTTAAACTGTGGTACCTTAAATCCGACAAGTTGCCCCGATAAGCCAGTAACCCCGCTTTGGTCTCTGTTTTACTGCATTTAACAGGCTGGTAGAAGGTAGGAAGTGTGGAAGAGAGAGAGACATGATAGAAATCGCCTGTGAAAAAGATGAAGGCACCAGGGTATTTTGTTTGCAAACAAAATGTGGATGACGTCGCATGCCGCTTCTACATTCCCGAAGGGAATGGTAATGGCGATAAAACTTGTAAATTCCCCTGGCAGATAATATAGGAGCAGTCTGATGGCAATAAGCTCGACGTTCAGGCATTCCCACTTCCGCAGAAGCTAAGAAAAAGGAAAACAGGCATCTGAAGACAGCCTTCGGGACATGTGGATATGTGGTGTTTCGAAAAAAGGACAACAGAACAGTCAGAGTCGCAGGACCAATGAAAGGGCTTGGTTATCACATACCTGTCTGGTGTGTCAGAAAAGCTAAAAAGGATTTTAGGGGAAACATCACATATCCATCCATTTAAAACCCTCCAACACGCTGAGGCAGAAACTTGTCCACCCCAAAGATCGGATACCAAAACAGAAGTAAAGCAACGCAGTGTATGCCATTCAATGCAGCGAAGTATGCCCTGAACTTTGCATTGGAGAGACCAAACGACTGTCACATAGGAGGATGGCCCAGCACAGAAGGAGCAACACCTCAGGGCTGTAGTCAGCTGTGTGCCTCCATTTGAAAGATAAAGGACATTCTTTTGAGGACATGAACGTCCAGATACTGGATAGAGAAGACAAGTGGTTCGAGAGAGGGGTGAAGGAAGCCTTGCATGTGCAAATCCACAACCTCTCACTCAACAGAGGTGGAGGCCTTAAGCATAACCTGTCTCCAATTTATCTTGTGGCCCTCTCATCCTACCTGTCAGAGAGAAGTCCAGTTGCCATGACTCAACCACCAGACAGTTTCACCTGGATGACTGAGAATCTTCACAGACATGTCCAAACTCTGAAAATTAGCAGGAGACTGTCTACTGGCAATGTGGTAAACTGACCGGTAGCACGTCCTGCTTTACCCAGTAGTATTATGTAAAAGGTCAGTGTTACATTTAACTCAGCATTAGCTTGCGCCCTGTGGTCCCCTACCTGTGTGAAGTGTGACACACTGACCACCCCTGTCCTTCTCATTTGGTCTGTTAATGCATTTTGGAGAAATATGTTAGCTGTGCATGTTGTCATGTTGTAGAAAGTGAGCGGAGACAGAAAACAGTCAAGTATTTAAAATGGGCCAAAGGTCATACAGACGACAGAACACATTTCAGTGCACTTTCTTCAGTTTGTCTGTGTTAATCATTTCCCACTTGCTTTGTGAGGTTCATTAAACAGACATTATTTCCGTGATGCCCTAAACTGCTTAGGCATTACAGGTATAAAGCCCATACGGCCCTGGGCTGCAGCTGTGTGACCATGCATAACCCAAAGGGCATGTTTGGCAGCAGTGTGTGGGGTGTTGTGTGGCTCAGTGGGCTAAGCCTCTCTGTCTGTCATCAGAGTCACTGGTTAGAGTCTCAGCCTTGACAGAATCGTAGCAGGTCCAGGGGCCATGGAACAAAGTCCATGAACAGGGCTGCTGTTTGCTGTCTGACTCTATGCTTGCCCTCACTTGTCTATGTGTTTCATGGAGAGTGAGATAGGGCAGACAAAAAGAGAATTTTGCCATAGGGAAATTCAGTATTTATACATGTAAATGTGCTGAAATAAGCACACAGCTCAGCTCCCCCATTGACTGGAGCTGGTGAGGATGGTGCTGAAGGACAGCTCTCATTATTTACTCAGGGCTCACACTGCTGTCTGCTCTGTGTTTACAGCCACAGAGGCACCAGGACAGCAGCAGCAGACCCTCTAAACATCAGCACACCTGACACACAAACTACTTCCTGTTTCAGTCTTGGAAGAATGGAACAACATACTCCATCAGTGTCCTGAGACCCCTGTGTTCATCCATCCACCCATCTTCCATACCACTAATTTCACAGCGAACCTGGAGCCAATCCCAGGCAGCATAGGGAACTAGGCAGGGGAACACCCTGGACAGGACGGCAATCAGTGTTTCCAATATTGCATATTTCTGATCTGACTTTATGATGTCGCTGCAGGTAAAAGTCTATCAAGTAACTTTTCTATCTGTATATTTAACTATAATTATCTAACCATGTGATTGAGCTAAGACACCACATGGGGGCCTCATTGCTGCATAGCTGTAAAGTCCTCAGGGAGAGAGAGAAACCAGCCAATAAGGAGGAAGAGGATGTTGCTGGTAAGACTGTCAGTTAGCTTGTGTGGGTGTGAGCATTAGCTGCTCTAACCCCACACATCCTGTCTCCTCTCAGTCTGAGAGGCATCAGCAGAGGAAACTTCATGCAGCATCTCCCTGAGCACAGGATGGACTTTCTGCTTCACAGGACGTTTCCTCTCTGAGGAGCTGCCCTCTGGGTATGAAGATGTGGAGGACAGTGAGGGAGACCCTCTCTCAGGTAGGGGGCTGAGGTCTGTGGATGTGGGGGTTAGTGCAGTGCTTACAGTAGAATTCTGGAGGAAGTTCATCATCTATTTATCATTGTTATAGTGCTAATGAAAGGTACTTTCTGAAAGTTGCTTGAATTATGTGTTTTATGTATGAAGGAGAGGAGATGTTAGAGCACTACAGTGATTCTATCCTTGCAGAGACGAATCCTGATGATCAATCATGTGGGTCTTTGTAACTTAGTCTAGTTTAATCCAGTGCTTCATTTCTTCCCAGTATATCTTTTAATCTCTTTTTTATTATATGTTTCATGTCAGTTCAGTGGTGGATCCATGGGTAACACTGTCACCTCCCACCTCCAGGGTTGTGGAGGTAAATTCTGCCCCAGTCCTCAAGGCTCTTACTGTGGCTACACCGATTCCCTCTGGGATTCCCTTTCCTCCTGCAGTCCAAAATGATGCAGTTAGGTAAACGATTGTCACTAAATTTCCCGCAATGTTTTGTTGTTTGTGTGTCCTGTGATGGAATGGTACCCTGTTCTGGCTGTTCCCCTGCCATGTGCCCTACACCACCTGTGATAGGCTCCAGTCTTGCCCTGACCCTGTACTGCATGATTGGTTGGAATATGGCTGGTTTTTATACTGTGATAAAAGACCAGGGGATGATGGGGATACTGTTGGGCAGAACCCAGGCGGTTTGTCTGCTAACGTACAACATTAATTTGACTAAAGCTTAATGTATTAAAACTGCTCTAAACTCTTAAAACTTTACTGTTTCAAGTTCAGGGTTGATGGTGAAAGGAGACACAGCAGAGGACCATGATGATGTTGAGGGTATAGAGTAGAGCCCACATGTTTTACCAGGTCAGTTTCTTTTTACACACAACTAATGGAGCAAAGTCTCTCTCACACCATATACTGCTCCTCTCAGAGGGTTTTATAAGGTGCTTATATTTTTATGTGCAATTTCTCAACCAAAGACATATGAATTACAAAATCATGCTTAATAATAAAATAACAAGCATATTTTTAGTCATGTAAATATAGTGACTCTCATTTCTATTCAGTGTCACTAATCTGTGTCCCCTACCCTGTCCCCTTAGGTGTGAGAGCCTTGGCCACACTGCCCCCTGGGGACGGCCCCCCTGAACCCGACCAGACTGACTATGATGATGTGGGGGAGGAGGGACTGACAGTCCTGCCTGAGGAAGCTCCTGTCCAAAGATTCATGAAGATGTTCTTCAAATGAGCTTCATGAAAGCAGCATCTACCACAGTATCACTGCTATTCACATTTCATGGATTTTAAGGTATTAAGGTTAAGGTTTTTTCTTTCAATTTCTAAGATTTTCTCATATATAATTAAAATATAATTTCTGTGACAGCTTTGTCTGCCTGTAAAATACCATTTCAAAATTTTAACCAATTTCGCATTTTCTGCTTTTGTATTTTATAATGTTTTCTTTCCTTTATACGATTAATTATATTTTGATTATATTTTCCCTAAACTCCAATTCAATTACTTAATGCTGTGTGAGTTTTACTGTTTCCTTTTTACAATTTTGGACTTGCCTACAACAAACCACATAAATATGGACCCTCTTTGTGTTCCTGACATTTTTGTATCCCATAATCCAAAATAACATGTTGACTTTATGATAATAGGAAATTAGTATTTTCAAATTTTAAATTTGCAAATATTTTGTAATAAAGTACAATTGAATCTGGACTGTGTTATCGATTCCCACCCTCCAACCGGCATTTTTTCTGGATGCAGAGGACCTTGGCTTGTATTGCTAATGAAAATTTGGCCCTTGGGCGTAAAAGAGTTAGCGACCCTGGTAATACAGACTTATTCATATGACGTGCCATTTATATGTGAAATACTTAAATAATAAACAACTTAATTGCATTTTTCCCATCTGATGAATCCTTGATCAACACCTCATGAGTCAATGAGTCAATCACCCCATGTATCAACACTGCTGGCTGGGGGTGGTGGTGTGATGGTGTGGGGCACATTCATGGCACACATTGGGCTCCCTGATTAAAGTGCAGCATGGCTTGAATGTTATAGGATATCTGAACATCATCACCAGTCAGGTGCCTCCTTCATGGCATCATGGAAGTTAGGCACAAAACAGCGATAATACCCAGCCAGTCCTAGGAAGGCCAGTACCTGGATTTTGGTGACGGAAAAAGGGCTTCACAGCCTCAGACTTCTTTTTCTCAGACTGGAATAGGACCCTTCAGATCGAGATGCTCTGCCCAGCTTTCAGTATGGACGACAACCTTGTCTAGTTGTCTAGTAGTTGTTAAACTAGCCAACCTTGTTCAGTTGGTGAAGGTCATGGCAAAACTAAAGGGATCCATCCAGCTTGGGGACCATCACAATGGTCCAAGGGCTGTGCGATTCATTGATTACTCCCAATCACCCCATCTTCTCATTTCCTCCTCCACATCCTGTGAACTGGCCTCTGGCATTTAATACAGCTTCGGCTAGAGGACAACTCAGGTCCTGGATTAATAAACAAATGAGTCACAGGGACCTCCCCCAGTACCCTGGTTAAAGGAAACATCTTGCATTTCAACATTTGCATCTCCTGCATCTCACATCCTCCACCAGTGTGACATGCAATGAGCACAGGGGGCAAGGGTGCATAAGGAGCTCTGGCTATGTGTGTGTGTGGAGTTCACATGTTCTCCTCATGTTGTCATGGAGTTCCTTCCAGGTTCTCCAATTTCTCCCAGAGACTAAAAACATATACTGATTTGAACTGAGATGGCCAAATTGTCTAAAGGTGTGTTTTGCTCTGCAAGAGGTTGACCCCAATCCTGAGTATAGAAAATGGATGAATGGAGAAAAATTACAAAAGGGGGCAGAGAGGCAGCAGCAGTCCCTTTAGGGCAGCCGTCCTCAAAGATTACCACAGGCAGCCCATGCATCTACATCTGGCTCTCTGTTTCCCTCCTCCAGCACCTTCTGCCCTGTGTAGACTTCCAGCTGCAATGGGGAAGATAGTCCCGGCCCATAATTGGGGCAACTATCATCCATCAACAGCTGGTGGCCCTCAGTGTGGTTGATCATGAGGAAACCACAGCTCAAAATAGATATATATTTTTTTAAACTCAAGAGGTTCTTCTGCTAAGAGGTTGAGTGCTGACTAACACCACTGCTGCTGTCTCTGTATATCTGGAGAAAATGAGAACATGAGTCTTCTGATTTGTCACTGCACCTACTTGGGGCTTTCCAGAACTGCCTTTGATAGGGCAGTTCTGTGTGTGATTGGTGGCTGGGGGCATGTCCTCTCTGAGGGGCAGGATGATACAAAGAGACTCAAACTGAGAGCGTGAATCTTGCCGTGGTAGATTTGCGCTGACGAGAGTTGGTTTCTTATCCTGATGAAGATGGAGGCCTGCGTGTTCATCACTCTAATCCTTGATCCTGCTCACCACAGCCAGTAAGTGCTATGCTCTACGTCCAGTGGTCCTATAACAGCCAGAGTTAAAGGTAAAATTCTTGCAGTCAGAGATGGCATGAAGAGACTTACCAGTATGGCACACATTTAGTAAAAGTATAATTAAATTAATAGACATTAACCATTAATGGAGTAGTTTTCTGGTGTTTGCTATTGACCTTGAGTCAGATCAAATGTAAACATATAAAGATATAAATAACAATAAGCAGAAGTGGAGATGTTATACTCAGGTGACACGAGACACAGGTCACAGTCCCAGGGCATGTGAGTGAATCCCTACACAAAAGGACAGAACAAATTCACAGCTTTGACAAACAATAATTAATAGTTACAGTCAATAATTAATGTCAATTAGTTCATTGAAATAAAATTTCACATCTTTCACCATATTCAGAGTAAGCTGAGTTATCTGTATCTCCAAAAAAGTACAAATAAAAATACAGTAACATTTTCTTGTGCTCTTATGCTCTATGGAACAGGCCCCAGTCTCCTTATACGACCCTGTACTTCAAAGTCAGCTAACTGATGGCTATTTGGGGGGATATACCTCATATAAGTATTATGGCTTCCTTAACATGTTACTACTGTTTAATTTGACCACTTGTATTGTTTGTTTATTTTGGTTATTATGGTTTCTGTTTGTTTGTGCATACGTGTCGCATGTAACATATTTCTCAAGCTGTAAATATATAGGTACGTAAATCCTGGTTCACAGGGCAGAAGCACAGAAGCACAGACATGAAAGCTGACGTAGAGTTCCCAGTTCATCTAAACTGCAGTGTTTTCATGATAATGTGAGCTCACCGAAGGACCCAGATCCACACAAACAGAGAACATGCAGCTTCTCTCCTGGCAGAGCAGGAGCTGCAAGGGGGCAGAACGACCTTTAGACACTCATGCTGCTCACACTGACATCCAATGGCAAGAAACAGTATTGCTTCTGGAAATCTGTGTACGTGCAGTAAACCAATATACAGCTTAGTATGTGAGAGTAAGCAAATAGTTAAAAATTGCCACAAGATTTCAATTTAGAGCCATACATTTAGAGTTCTTTTGAGCTTTATTAACCAGGTTTGCAGAAACTACTGTCTCTCTGATGCACAAATAACAGATAAAAATAGATGCGTGTGAATACAAACTTCTGTGGTTTCCTTCCGTAGCAAGTATGTAGCTCAGAAACCACACGGGGGTCTTACACATGCAATCAGGCTCTCAGGATGAGGGGAGACGCACTCAGTACGAATAGAAGGAAGGTGATGCAACTGACAACCAGACCACAGAAAGACTGAACTACATCACAACATCCGCCTGTGCTGCGATCTGCCTGCTACCTTTACTGTTCCACTGCTGCTATCTGGAATAAAATCAAAGGAATTTATTAGCGAGTGACACCCACACACTGACAAGTTAGCGAGCAGCCTGCTCACTACTATAAATTTATCATAACTGAAATCTGCAGCTGGATGGCAGCGAACGGATGATTTTTTTTCCGCTGTTCCTCATCTCTGACAGAAAGAAAAAACACACATATAAATATTATAGCGTTAGGCCTCCCCATCAGGCAGCGCGGCATGCTGCACTGGTGCCATCTGTGTTAATAATGGAAATAGCTGTATGTAGTTAGTGTCTATTGTGTTATCATTGTGTTGTATCGTAGTGTCATGTACAGTGTTATGTGATGTACAGTAAATAATGTGTCTGCGCCCACCTTTGCCTGCGACCCCAGTCGGGGGGGAGGGGGGTTGCTCATGGTGGGCAGAGTATATCAGTGGCGTGGGTGAGTTAGTGCTTGATTGTTGTGTTCGGTCCTTTTTAATAAAATAAGATACATAAAAGAGCATTCCCGGTTAAACTGCCTCGTCTTGCTCCTGCTGCCATGATGCCAGGGACTGTCGAGCACTGCAATATAGATCGTTTGTACACTCACCTTAAGGATTATTAGGAACACCTGTTCAATTTCTCATTAATGCAATTATCTAATCAACCAATCACATGGCAGTTGCTTCAATGCATTTAGGGGTGTGGTCCTGGTCAAGACAATCTCCTGAACTCCAAACTGAATGTCAGAATGGGAAAGAAAGGTGATTTAAGCAATTTTGAGCGTGGCATGGTTGTTGGTGCCAGACGGGCCGGTCTGAGTATTTCACAATCTGCTCAGTTACTGGGATTTTCACGCACAACCATTTCTAGGGTTTACAAAGAATGGTGTGCAAAGGGAAAAACATCCAGTATGCGGCAGTCCTGGGGGCGAAAATGCCTTGTTGATGCTAGAGGTCAGAGGAGAATGGGCCGACTGATTCAAGCTGATAGAAGAGCAACTTTGACTGAAATAACCACTCGTTACAACCGAGGTATGCAGCAAAGCATTTGTGAAGCCACAACACGCACAACCTTGAGGCAGATGGGCTACAACAGCAGAAGACCCCACCGGGTACCACTCATCTCCACTACAAATAGGAAAAAGAGGCTACAATTTGCACGAGCTCACCAAAATTGGACATTTGAAGACTGGAAAAATGTTGCCTGGTCTGATGAGTCTCGATTTCTGTTGAGACATTCAAATGGTAGAGTCAGAATTTGGCGTAAACAGAATGAGAACATGGATCCATCCTGCCTTGTGCAGGTTGGTGGTGGTGGTGTAATGGTGGGATGTTTTCTTGGCACACTTTAGGCCCCTTAGTGCTTAGTGACTTTAGGTGAGTGTATATATTTCTTAAAGGGCTTAAACACAAGGAATCTCTGCATGTCACTGTGTGCAGATCATGGGGATTTCAGTAAGCTCTGGGTTTCCACATCTTCGTTTTCTTAATGTATCTTAACATTACGGAACATTCGGGTCTCTTTCTGGTTATGAGCTTAATTTTACTGAGGTCTACAGTGTTCATAGTATTTGGATGCTGAAAGCTTTTCTCTGTGATTTAAATAAAACATTAAAATAAATGAGAGTTTCAGTTTGAAACACAGACAGTCTCAGTTTCAGTCTCTTTTTTTAACAGTCTAATCGGTTAAACAGTTACTTTGGCACAATTTCTAAACACCTGAAATAGAAATGACGACTACTTGGATTGGGTAAGTCTGCCTTTTGATCCTACTTCAGAGCAAAAACCTTTGACGAAATACTGCTTATTGCTGCCATCTACTGGAAATAATTGTGAACAAACCATAAAATAACTGCACACCATCTTCTTAGCCTTACTAACGGCTTTTTAAAGAATCAAGGTATTTAAAAAAATATGTGATTCAATTCATGGAAAGGGTAGTTTATTCCTTGACCACACGGATAACTTGGAGAACAGGAAAAAATGAAAGAAGGTTACATGAAGTTAATTTAGGCAACATGTTTCTACAGCACCCTCTTGTGGCCACATTCATTTACTGCTCTGCTCAGATGAGTTTTTGCACCACCTTAACAGTCAAAAGTGAACTAAACCCT